AAGTTAAATTTTATTATTTGCAAATGACTTTTATAGTTAAATCGATGTACTCTGCTTTTATCTGCTCTTTGTTAACTGAAATGGTTTCTTTAATTCCTTTCGAAATTTTAAGTAACTTTTTATGGTTACTGGCTCCAATGTTTATATATCTTTATTTTATTCTATTTTATCCTTAGAGCTGAGGAAGCAGCAACAAAAGCGTAAGAAAGTACCTTTTTTCTGAACTCTAAGAACTGGAAGAATCATGTAGGGTTCTAGAAGAATCTGTAGGTTCTGATCCTGATTCCCTTTGCTCTGATAACAGAATCTATCAAGAAAACATATGGAGACAACTCGAACAGTCAAAGAAAGGAAATGCATTTCCATTTGAACTATTAAGACAATACAATAAGGGGTTTAAAAGATTGAAGATCGAAGAAAAAGATATACCATGTAATAATAAGGCGGTATGCCAGGAATTGTCAACAGAAGAAATTCTTAGAATTGCAGGAGCAAGGTTTCTCAAGTCCTCTTCCCAGGCAATAGATGTTGTTCACATGCTTAAAAATCCTTCTCATATTTCCTTGGGCTTCTCTGATAAAGCAATCAGAGACGTAGAACTCGTGCAATTAGAACTCGTGCAATGCCTCCTGGCTTCTGCTGAGAAAGTGGGCAATCAACAGTTTTACAGTGGGGGGAGATTGCTAAAAAATTCATGGCCTTTTTCCGTTAGATCCAGTTCAACGAGTCGTTTATTACTTCCCTGAAGCTCTTCAAGAGAGAATAGATGCACAATTTGGAATCGTGGAGAAAAAGCAGTCGTTAGATATGCATGAAGCAATAACAACCCTAAGCTCACCCGCCATTGCATATCACCAAGCAATTCCCTTCTGTCGAATTGCCCATTTTTTCAGTAATTCAGTCTATTCTAGAGCACGTGGCAGGTTAAAAAAAGATACATATAGTTGATCTTGAAATCAGAAATGGAATGCAATGGATCATATCTTGATGGAAGCATTTGAGGTTCTCAAGTGAATGGGCTTTGACTCCTGAAAAGAAACTGATATTGGGGACTACTTGAAATCAGAAATGGAATGCAATGGATCATCTTGATGGAAGCTTTAGGTTCTCAAAGTGAATGGGCTCTTGAACTCCTGAAAAGAACTGATATTGGGACTACTTCAAAGCATTTAATCGATAGTACAGGTAAGAGGCTAATTGAACTTGCTCTTTTCTTTCAAGATGGTTCTGGTAGCAGATTTTTTTGAACTTAAAGAAGATTTCAAGAAATAGATGTTGAGGAAATTGTAGCTGTATACTTTGAAAATAAACTATCTAGCCTCCTCCCAGATAGGCTGGAATCTGTAATGAGATTCGCATAAATAGAAAACTGATGTCTTATAGAACAAAGCAAAGATATGCAAAACACAATTGTACCTTCAAACTTTCAATAAAGGTAGATGCATATTTCTCGAGTCCATGCAAAAAAAGGGATTAATGCATCTACACCTTTCTTAGGAGGCCCATCCGTGAAAATATTCTTTCCCCTCGAAAGTAAAACCCACTAGAAATAAAGAATGGAGCCAGTGGCCGCGCCACAGACAAAGTAGTGGGTTCACAATTGTTTTTCTCATATATATATAGGTATTAGCAATTTTAGCCCTATTAAATTTGATAATTTGATAATTTATCCATAAACTATTTTTACTTCTCAGGGAAGGCTATCCCCTATTAGTAGACAAACTTATTTTCAAGCTGTTGATATTGCTAATGAATAAAAAAGAAAAGCTTTAAAGCCAAAAAATAAAAAAAAAGAGAGAGAGGAACCGGACTGAAAGAAGATGTGTCTTTAATAAAGAAAAGAACTCTTGCTCTTATAGATTGGAAAGTTAATAGGTAAATCAATAATTATTTTTTTTAAAGTATAGCTTTAATATTATTGATTTCAACTTTTCAAAATATGAAAATTCATCAATAGCAACGGTAATTTCTTTAAATGAAATTGACTCCAATGACTCCGATCTTTGACTCCTACACTATATGGAGCTGAACTTTCATTTTATTAAAGAGCTCCCACCATTTCCAAAACCATGTTTCTTTGTTATCAACCCAATTAATGGCATTCTTAGAATCAAACTCAAAGATTACAGGAGAATTTCAAGATTTGAACCCGAAAAAATTTCACAACTCTAAAAATTGCAAGAATTTATGCTTCATTTAAAACTACCACTCCCACATATTGATAGAAAATGTATAGCACCACGACTTTGGAATTTCTTACCATTCTACCAATTCCAGTTAGACCTAGTTTTCCTCTAGCGGCACCATCGCCATCAACAATCGCAAAAAAACCATAGTTTCTTTGGTATCGAACCAATTAAATGGCAATTTAATTCATATATGGAAATCAAACTACAAAGATTTACAAGAAGACCGAATTTCAAGATTTAACCCGAAAAAAAATTCACAACCTCCCTCAAAAAAATTGCAAGATTTAATCTTCATTTAAAACTCACAATCCAAATAATGATAGAAAATGTTAATAGCACCACGACTTCTGGAAATTTTTACCACTTCTACCAATTCCAGGTTAGACCTAGTTTTCCTCTAGCGAGCACCATCCGATCTATTATTAAACTTTAATTATCCCCATCTATTGGATTTTCCCTACAAAAACTTTTGGAATATAAGAGAAAGAGTTCAAACTGTATGAACATAAAGTTGCTAACTAACATTGTTGATGAAAACCACATCGCTTAATTGAATTATGGTAAATAAGGGTGATTAGTTGTAAGGATATCGAAGCTCCTCTGGTAAATAAGGGTGATTAGTTGTAAGGATATCGAAGCTCCTCAGTTTAATTATTTCCGCCACAGATTCACAATCCAACCTTTCTAAGTTGAACACCAATCTATTTCTTCTAAGCCAGACAGTGCACAAAGTGACAAAGAAGATAGTAATCCAGCGAACCTTCGGATTTGATCAAACCATGCAAAGAGAGCTAAATATATTTTTTAATTAACCTTATAAAGAGGATGAGTGTAAATAAGAACAAAATAGAAAGACAGAGAACAAGAACTGAATAGGAAGAATGCGAGAACCGAACTCATACATCTTAACATTCATAATATAAAAGTCATTATTACAAATTAACACACAAGAACTTGCTTTATATCACCCATTCCAAGAAGTAAGTCAAGCTTCATGGAGAAGAAGATAGGGCTTTCGTCATGATATCACGTGCCTTGCACATGGCCACTAATGGCTGAGCTTTGGGCATGGTGAGTCCAATCCCTTCAGACATATCAATTTCCAGATCACTTACCCTTCTCCATTCAAAGCACTGAATCAAAGACTTCCATTCAAGCACTGAATCAGCACCTTAAAACCAAACCATACACCGTTTGGCTAAACCAATCCCAGGACATGACTCCTTCCTACCCAAAACGGCAACAACTTGATTGGCTTCAATACTTGATTAGTTCCCTCTCCAAATCCTCTCAAGCGCTATAATTTAGCTGCTCATCCCATACTTAGGGGTCTCTATGTTACAGCCAAGCATTAACACAGCAGGCATTGTTTGGTATCAACACTGTACCCTAACATTCATACCCTCCAACATTACACTCTTGAGATGATAAATGTGGAATAAGGAGTGGACCTGGTGGATGCAATCTTAGGGTTTCTGTTATAATACTTTGAAGATATGGTGATTTAGAAACAACAGTTTCATCCATCAAGCTTTCTTTATCATCGATCTTTGTGTCCAACTCTTTCTTTGCCTTCTCCAGAACTTCAGGGTCATTAAGTAAATTTGACATTGCCCATTCTATTGTAATGGCTGTTGATTCAGTCCCACCAAATACAATATCCTACGATTGAAATTTCAATAACTCTGTTATATAAATATAGCTACTAACTAATTAAGTGTGGTCTAATTAGTTTTCTTATAAATGTGAGAAGTTTTAGGTTCTAGATTTACATTTATGACAATTTTCACCAATTTGATAAGCTAACAGAAGGGTTAATCCTCTTATGTAGCCCATAATATTATTTCAATTCAATAGATATCTCAATAAACAGTAAAAAAATGTGCATATTCTTTAAATGTTACATACATATTAAACGATGAGTTTTAGCTAAGTGGTACTCAATTTATCTTTAGAAGTGAGAATTTTGAATTTAAACCCCCTAGTAAGGTCAAATTTACTTAAAAACATTCCATTGTTTGTTTGTAATAAATGCATTGTTTGTTTGTAATAAATGCATTTCGTTAAATTTTATACGCTTCATGTTAAAGTCTTTCTGGAATTCATTTGAAAATTTATATTTTTATATTTGAAAAAACTGAATATTTCAAATTCTAAAGAATTTTGTAAATTTGATTATAACTAAATTAAAAGCTAATAATTAAATAGGTAGAATTTCTAAATGAATTACACAAAATTAAACAACTAATTAAAAGCTAATAATTAAATAGGTAGAATTTCTAAATGAATTACACAAAATTAAACAACTAATTTTTATGACCAAACTATCCCTTCACTTTATCCCAGTATTTTTTTCCCCTCCATGTAATATGAGAATAGTTTTTCAACTCAAATCAAATCGATTGATTCAACCAGTTGATTGAACTATAAACCAGTTTTGATTTGATCAAATCAATTACAACTCGAATTTGATTTTATATACATGTAGTGATTTTTGAGTATTGAATTCAACCTAAGTGTATTTGACCAAAATATTAACCACCAAAGTACATAAATTATTGTTTTGAATTAGCAATATTTAATTCCCAGTAATTGGGGTTGATAGTTAGCATGTACGTCATTGTTTCGATTGTAGTATATGAAACTACATAAGCCGCCATGGGGTGGCTAATAAATCTATATAAAAAAAAAATTCAAACTTTGATCAAATTTGTATGAGTAATGTGAGGTGTGACTAACTGTTATACTTTGTTTATTCGTTGCTTAAGCTATTCTAATTAGGATTATATTTACAATAAATCTTCAACAACTGCAATCAATCATTATTTTATATGTGAGTAACGGCATCAATCATTTTTATTATATATGTGAGTACGGACATTGGCGTGCTCCTTTTGTATGTATATGCTGGTTTAGTTAATTCTTTATTATTTAGGATTTCAATTATGCTATAATTGTTTTGTTTTTCTATATATTTTTTTATCTATATTCTAAGAAATACAGTTTATATTAAAAAAATTAAATTATATTTTGATTATTTATTTTAGTAGTTATTAATTGTTGTAGTACTGTAACGTGTTTTAGCGTGTTTAGGTAAATGTTAAGAGGTAATGTTTCATAAATTATGTTTTTAAACTCTTACCTTTGGTGATTGAATCAGATTCAAAGACTCCCTTATCTTGGGTGCTAAACAAAGAAAAACGCCCTTGGAGGTGGTGGGAACACTTTAATAAGCTAGATTCTCGCATTTCTTCTATGGTTCATGTTAGCTTCAGACACATAAAAGAGAGAAACTCTTTTGCAGATTGCTTGGCAAAAAAAGGAGTTTAGGCATTAAATCCTTTTATAACTTGGTTATAGGTTCTCTTTCGTTTTAATTATGATTATGTTCTATTTTTAATTTTCACGGCTCGCGAAAAGTGATAACAGGTCTTTTAATGAGGTTTTTTTTTCATATATCATGAAGTTATACTAGATTTTTTCACATGACATTTCCAAGTGAAGACTTGGGTGTATAGGGTAAATTTGATGAGGGTAAATTTGATGGCTTGGGTTAGATTGCTTGGATTTGTTAAGTTTTTCCTCGTTATTAATAATAAAATTAATTACTTTGCTGATAAAAAAAAATATTTCATGGAAAATACTGCCTAAACCAAAACCAATTAAAATAGAAAATTTTTAAAAATTGTTCATTCTTTATATTTTTTTGCAATATGTGGTAAAAAATTCTATCATTTCAACAAAAATTCTATTTTTATTAGTTCAGTTCATAGATCAAGTCATGGACTCGGTTTTGTGCAAGTAAATTCCATGTTTTGTAATGAAACCCTCAACTTATTTTTCATTGATTTGCTCAATGAATGCACCCATGGACATAGTCTAAGCAATTAAAATTCTACTAATAAAAACACTAAGCATGCGAATGGAACAAGTCTTCAATGCAAAAACTAATGAGAATGGCTTCACATAAAATGGAACAAGTCTTCAATGCAAAAACTAATGAGAATGGCTTCACATAAAACTTAAAGCAAGAAAACATGGATGCAGAAAAAAAAAATATAGAAATATTAGTTAAAATCACTCACCAGAATAAGACCCTTAATAACTTCATCTGTATAATATTCTGGTTCTGATTCTTGCAAAGAAAGCAGATGGCTAATCATGGTGTTCTTTATTTCTTTCTTTCTATGTTCATCGATAAAACTTTGCCATAGACTATCAGTTCTTTTACCAAGTCGTTCCGCTCTTTTCAAAAATCCCCCATAATCAATCCACTGCAAAATAGGCAAGAAATCTCCCAAATATGAGGCTCCTGCATATTCAAAAGTCTCTTCTATCGTTTCTTTAAATTGCTTCTTTCTCCTTTCCTTCGTTCTCCTCATATAATAACCGTTTTTCGGCTATCATTCGTATAATCATCAATTTAAACAGTTAGCTCATCAACGTTGGTTTCAACTCTACTTAGCAAAACCATTACTTGAGAATATCATACACGTTACTTTAGGAAAATCTTGATTCTCTTCTCGGTCGAATGCCCGGAGCCGCATTCCGAGAACGCATTCAGGCGATTCGAGGAGAAAACTTCAAGCATGCCTATGCGGCGAAGGTTGCGCCAATGGTGTCCATAAAAGGATGTTGAGAGAGTAGAGTTGTCGTAACTTACGTACTTGGATAGAGTAAACGGGGGACGATTTGCAAAAACGATGTCGCTTTTAGCGAGGCATTCTTCAACAGCTGATGGTGATGATATAACCATTACTTTCTGGGAACCAAATCGGAGAGAGATGATTGGACCATATTTTTGGGAAAGATTATGAAGTGTTTGATGCATGGGAAGCTTTATGAGGTGCAGATGGCCTATAATTGGAAGAGAAAATGGGCTTGGCGGTACCTTTCTTTTCTGTTTTTTTGTTGTTCTTAAGGCAAGATAGAGGAAAGGAAGGACAAAGATCACCAAATAGAAATATTTGTCTTCCATGCTTGTTGCTGTGTATCTATTAGTGCTGCTTCTTAGTTCATATGTATATATATACACACAGTGCTGACATGAAGTTGTACACAAATGGATGTATTGACAAAATCTTTGGATTTTTGTAGTATACGCATGATGTTGAAAGGAAGGGACTATAGTAGTGGACCCAATTTTTGTTTTTTCAGTTGAATTGTTTTTTCAGTTGAACTATTCAAGGTTGTTCGTTTTTTTTTTCAAGAAAATGTTTTTCGTCCAACTTTGCTCTTCAAACTTTTGGAAGACAATTTGAAAATTAATAAGTTAAAGGTGAATTATTTAATGAGCAGGAGAGAGCATAACTATTTTTCAATTTTTTTAAATTGAAAAACCAGAAAAGGTATTAATTAAAATATGTATTTGGGAGTGGCTGTGTTACTAGGTCTATGTTAATGAAATTTCTGAGTTAAATGAATAAGTACTTTCCACTGAATATATAAATTTATCCCTTAACTTTATCATTTTAATTTTATACACTACAAAAAAAATGCACAATTGCGACCGATTTTTGCGACCGATTTAATTCGGTTGCAAAATTGCGACCGCTTTGCGACTTATAAGCCATTGGTCGCAAATTTTGGCGCTGAAAATTCCCGCGAGAATGGTTAATGATTTGCGACCTGTGTACTATAGATTTGCGACCGATGTGCGACTAAGTGTTCTTCTGTCGCAAAATTTCGCGCGTCAAAAATGGGGCAAAGTTCTGAGACCGATTGGAGACTACATGACGTATGGAGTCGCAAATCGGTCGCAATTTTGTCGCATAGTAAAACGACGTCGGACAATTAAAAATTGCGACCGATCTTAATTAAGTTTGCGACCGATTGGTTGGTCGCAAACTTTAGGGCTTTAAACGCGACGCCCTTCCCTTTTTCTTTCTTCTTCTTTCTCTCTTCTCCTTCTCCTCTCCTCTCCTCCGTCCGCAGCGCCACTCCAGCCCCTCCTGAGAACGCTCCAGCCCGCCTGATGCCGCCACCGACTCTCCGGTCACTCCTCAACGCCGTTCGCCACCGTTTGGACATTATTTGAGGTAAGACCGATTTGCATTTTAATTTTTTTCGAATTTTTTTTTTCTTTTGCGATTATATTGTACTTAAGTTATGGTTGATTTTTATATAGAGTATGCGATTAGAATTTTTTTTTAGGGTGCTGTTTATTATTATTATTATTAATTATTATTTATTATTATATTTTTTTATTTTTATTTTATTATTATTATTTATTCATTATTGTTGTTGTGTTGTTGTTTGTTGGTTGTTGTTGTTGTTATTATTATAATATTTATTATTTTTTATTATTTTATTATTATTTATATTATTTATTATTGTGATTGTTATTCATATTATTTGTATTATTTTTGTTATTTATTATTATTATTACTACTGTTTATTATTATTTTATTATTATTATTATTTTATTCTTATTATTTATTATTATTAGTATTAGTATTATTGTTGTTGTTATTATATTATTATTAATGTAATTATTATTATTATTATTGTGATGTATTATTATATTATTATTTTAGTATATTGTTATTTTTATTGTTGTTGTTATTACTATATTATTATTATTATTATTGTTGTTGTTGTTGTTGTTATAATATTTTATTTAATGTTATATATTATTAATTATTTGTGATTGTTTATTTTATTATTATTATTTTATTATTATTTATTATTATTGTTATTGGTTATTTGTTGTTGTTTATTATTATGATTAGTATATTATTTTAGTATTATTGTTGTTGTTTTATTTATTTATTAATGTTATTGATTTTATTATTGTGATTGTTACTTATTATTATTATATTAGTATTACTTGTTATTGTTATTTGTTGTTGTTATTTTTTGTTATTATTATTATTGGTATTATTATTACTGTTGTTGTTATTATTATTATTATTGTGAATGTACTTGTTATTATTATTATTAGTATTATTGTTAATAATGTTGTTGTTATTTTTTTGTTTTAATTTAACATATATATATGCAACTTAAATAAATTAAAAATTGAGAGTTTCAGTTAACAAAAAGCCGTAATTATATATTGTTACATATTTTATATAAAAAACGAAAAAAATTTAAAAATTGTTGCTATATATAAAATTAATAACCCTTAATATCCAAGCAAATAGATAAATATCATTTTATCATACTGTGTACCCCTTCCCCAAATGTCATATGGGCATGTGATGCATATGACAAAAGAAAGAAATGCACGTGAGTGTGTGAGTCGAGATACATTCGAGTGATATCGAGTGATAAAAATTTTAATTTTCAAATTACATTAATTTCTGCAATTTTACCGATGGATGATAATGAAATTTAGCAACAAAATTGAATGTGATTAGTGATTGAATGTGATTAGTGATAAACGCCAATTTTTTTGCTTATTCAATCTCTATTTTTAATTTATCTTTTTCTAAAAAAACTTTATTCATTAAAAATTGCATTTTCTTTTTGCTTTAAAGTTTCATATTTTATTATTATTAAAATCTAGTAAATCAATACAATATAAAAACTATTGTAATATTATAAGTAGAATTGAGTTTTTTACAAGTTTGTTATCTAGGAGAGAAAAACAATTATTTTAAAGGTTTTCTAATAATTTGTGTTGATTTATTATATATATTTTTTTTTAGGACTTTTAATGAAAATGTGAAATTAACCATTTAATTAGTTTTTCTTATTTTCAACATTTATTTACTAAAAAATTGTTGAATGATATAAAAAAATAAAACCCATTTTAAAATCCATTTTCCCAAAAAAATTTTTTTCTTTTTTTCAAATCTAATAAGTGATCTAATTTTTTACTTAAACTTATAAAATACCTTTCACCAAATTCATCAAAGTTTTAAAATTGAACTGAAATAAATTATTAAAAAATTAATCAAACTTTGATAGCTACTTTAGTAGACCCATTTCAAAGTCTGAACCATTCGGGAAAAGTTTCAAAGTTCCAAAAAGCAAGTGTCATTTTCAAATATACAGATTATACATATTATGGGATTGAAATGAAAGGCAATTTTCTTTTTATTATATAATATTTTACATTTTCATTCAAGTTATCGAAAAAGAATATAAAAGAAATATGGCAAATGCGATGTGTACTTAAGGAGATTTTCAGTTTTCAATTATTATGGCTCCAAACTACAAAAATAATTGTAAATATTCTTAAGATCAGCGTATACGTAGTTTGATGCATAAAAACTAACTCTGTGAACAATAACTAACAAAAATATAACAAGTACAAAAACTTACTTGCTCCCAATTTTTTTTTTTTTTATTGAAGATAATTGGTAATTTATATAAATAATTTTTTGTGTGTTTAGGTTTTACATTGTTCTTATTATGCAATCTTTCTGAGAAGGTTTTGGCTGTGTTTTTCTTTTCTTTATTTTATATTATTGTCGTTATTTTTCTTAAATATATTTTTGACTTAAATAAATGATGAGTTTGGATTGGAGGCCTAGTAGTGGCCATATTGCCTTTGGAGAATGTTGGTATGATATAGAAGTGTTTATTGATTTGTTTTTATATTTGAGATTTGATTGTGTTGTGCCGAAATGCTGCCGAATTTTTTCCCCAAAAATTCAATATGTAGAATAGTACACTTATCTTTATTATAGTAGTCTTTGTATTCAATAAATGAACTTAGTGATTTTACATTTATATATAGTTACCCTTATTATAGAAATAACCTTAGTTACTTATAGTTTATATATTAAGTTTGTAAATTTGAACATAACATTAGGTGCATGTTTAAAGGATGGTTTTAGATAATGCCAATTACATGCACGGCCTTTAATAAACACATTGTTAATTAGGTAAAAAAAAATGCAAAAATAATGGAGATTGGTTATGTACTGGAGCAGGTTCGGAGGTCAATGGGATATTAAGACAAGATTCGCTTGCAGGATTGGAGGCGTTTATACAGTTTGCAGTTGGTAATTCCAGTTTTTATGGGATGGTAATAAGTTGAGGTGTCCATTTGTAATCACAAGAAGCTGTCGAAATCGAGCCCTTCTTAAGTGATAATTGCATTATCAGTGGCTTATAATTGATCTATATTCGTATGCATTTTTGGGTTTATTTATGTGCTTAATTCACTTTGTTAGACATTTTACCCAATAGACATTATTTTTAGTTGCATTTGGGAGTAATATTGATTAAACTTGGTTAAAATTTCAGGGCATTTTTTTTATCTTGACTTTTTATCTTGACCCTTATTCGGTTTTTCAGGGATATCTGGAGTTGTAGACCTTCAAATTGGATTCTGTTTGATGCGCTGGAAAGATGAAATAAAGTTCTACAATTTTCAAAGAGGAATCAGAAGCTAATTCAGGCTCAATATTGATCAAATTTAGCTCTGAAGTTTGAAGCTATGTGCTGTATAA